TCCCACTCAATTAGACACAAATTACAATTGAATAACCATCAAAAAACTAAAAGCACATGCACAAAAAATACACCATGTAATCATATAGGAACAGTAACCAAAAATAGAAAAAAGGGAAAAAGAAGAAGAAAAAACAAGAAAACCTGCAATATCTAGGAATAGGGCACTAAGAGAAAAAAAGTAGAGGAGAATAATGAGGGAAAAAAAATGGGAAAAATGTAAAAATAAAAACAAGGAACGGGGTTAACCACCAGAAAAAAGGGGGAAAAAACAAACAAACAAACTTAAATTAAAAAAAAAATTTCAACCAGGCACAGGGAAAAGAAAAAATTCTAAAAACTAGGACCTGTGAGGGGAATATTAAAAATAATAGTAAAAAGGACAAAAGTATTAATAATAATATTTGTTTTATAGCAGACAAATACAAGCAAACTACTCAGCAGAAAAAAGAAAGCGAAAAAGAAAAATATAAAAATAAAAAGAGAAAAAAAAAATCGGTGGAGGACAGGGCAGGGCACCCAGGTTCCGTCTGAGCACACAGACTATGATGGAGTTTCTGTGGGCCCAGAAGGTAGGTAGGAGTGGGGTATGGCCACATCTCTGTTCACCAAGCAGGTGTGGGTTATAGGAGTAACAAGAGGAATGTCGTACCTTTTCAGTCTTGCAGGTCCCGAGTGTCCTTGGGGTTGCTGGAAAGCAGACAGTGTTCTTAAGCCCCAGGAATCTGCGAGAGCGTTGTCTCTTTAAATATCCAAAGTAGTCAATTCACTTTTAAGCCTTCAAAATGGCGGTGCCCTTCTGACCAGCAGACGTCCACAGCTCAGCCTGCCTTTCTCTTCCCCTTCTCCATTTATTCCCCAGCCACTGGAGCAGTCCTCCGTGTAGACCCTGGCTAGCAGGGCTGATTTTTAGGTTAATTCTTAAGTTCTGCCAGCACTCGGGAATCTCCAAGCTGCCTGTGCCATCAGGGTCACTCAGGATCACTGCCAGATCACAGCTCCATATGTCTCCTTTTTGGTATTATCACGCAGATTTCTGCTAGTTGGGGTTTAGCCCACTTCTATATCCTTCCCTTCAAGGCTCAGGGGTCCAGGATTATCTTCTGTGTCTGTGTTAATTGGTTTCCCTTTTCTTTGTTGAAGAGGGTCTGTGCAGTCTCTCTGCGTAGTCCGCCATCTTCGACATTGAGTTTTTTAAATTTTTTTTTAAACAAATTGAAGGTTGTGGCAACTTTGCATTAAGCAGGTATATCGGCACCATTTCTCCCACAGCATGAGTTCATTTCCTGTCTCTGTGTCACATCTTGGTAGTTCTCATAATATTTCAAAGTTTTTCATAATACTATATTGCACATTTAATAGAACTGAACCCTCAATATTTGCAAAGTATATCTGTAATTTCTGTATTGTAGCCATCTTGTGATATTATATGTACAATCAAAATTTCTACAATAGGAGATCAGTCATGATGTAGGAAATACGTTTTTTACATATTTGAAAAAAGTTTACAATGCCTGGTAATGTATATGCATAATTATAATGTTTTGTGTTTATATCTCTTATACAAGATATTCTGAGATATCTTTTGACTTTATTTAGTAATAACAGTTGAATTATATTTTAAATCTTCTTTTCTCCCTTAGAAGTAAATTTCCCCAGAAGAACTTAGAAATGCTGTTCCATGGAATGAGTTCTGATTTCACAAGTGAGAATTTTTCAGCTGCCTGGTATCTTATAGAGAACCACTCAACCACCAGGTTAGTACATGTCAGACTGTCAGCAGTTCATGGTTTGACCCAGATGCTTATAGTAGGAATATACAATAACTGGTATAGGACTTGTTTAGATTTGGCTCTGCAACAGATGAGCCCCTTGACCCTGTGTGAGCCAGTGAACATTTCAGGGTATCTATTTCCTGATTTGTAAATGAGATTAGTGATTAAAGGACCTTCATTTCCTTTACAATTTTATGTTTCTCTATTTCCATTTTTTGAAAAAATTCTTTATTGTGATTTGGGTGAAAATTTACAAAGCAAATTCATTTTCTATACAGCAGTTCATACACATTTTGTCTCATGACATTGACTGCAATTCCTCGCAATGTAACAGCTCTCTTCCCACTTCCTCCTGGTAGTTACTTCTTCCCTACGTCCTTCCCTCCCATGTACTTTTGCCCCCTGAGCTGTCTCCCCGTGCAAACACTGCCCTTTTGTTCTCCCATGAGTGATTGCTCCAAGTAGGGTATTAGTGTATGTACCTGATGTAAATGTTCAGCCCATATGCCTGTTTAATTTTGGCTGGTATCCACAGGAGTGAGTTCAGTTCCAGACCTGAGTATAGCTAGGGGCCATGGTCTCAGGGATCTCACTAGGCTCTATCAGACCAATAAACTTAGTCTTTTTTTTTTTTTTTTTATGATTTTTGAGTTTTGTTCCACATTGTTCTCCCACTCTATCCAGATCTCTTGCACTGATCCCCTTCCAAGTGTTTGACAGTGGCAGCCAGTTACGATCTAGTTCTGGTCTCCTGGTCTTACAGGCTGAGGAGTGCATGGTCTACCAATCTCTTGGATTAATTGTTTCCATATGTCTTTAGTTTTCTTCATTCTTCTTTCCTCTGGACGAGCAGAGACCCGTTAAGTTGGCCACTTTTAAGATACAAGTAGCTATTCACCAAAGTTGTTGTTGTTGTTATTTGCCATCGAGTCGGCCCTGACTCATAGCGACCCCTCCTTGGGTTTCCGAGGCAGTATCACTACGGAAGTAGGATTGCCCAACCTTCCTTCTGAGGTGTGGCTGGTGGGTTTGAACCGCCAGCCTTCTGGTGAGCAGTCAAGTGCCTTAGGCACTATGCTACCAGAGCTCCTATTCACCAAAGTAGGATGTGGAATAATGTTTTTGTGTAGTATGTTATGCCAGTTGAGCTTGATGTTCCCTGTAACCATGGTCCTGAGCCCACAGGTCAAACTACTCTGGGTAGCTGGCTATGGCCAAGAAGTCATCACAAACTTGCCCCTTGTCAGCTCTACTGTATACCTGGACATTCTCACAGAGCATACAGATACACTTATAGAACATTGTCTGCCAACCTGTACATGGTCACAGGCACCCTAACCCCTGCCTAGACATACCTGATTGTTCAGCCTGTCCACCCATGTATCCACCTGTAGATCAGTGATTGCTGTCACTGACAATGTAGTACTGTATATGCAAAAGGGTTCATCATTGCTGTCTGTGCCTCCCCTGTACCTCTCTGTATCTTTGTCTTCTTCAGTGCCACTGTGTTGATCACTTGAATTGTCCTTCTCTTCATCCAAATCAATACTTGTTTCTACTGTGTATCAGTGTGACCTCCCCTCCCCTCCCACCCCTGGTAACCAGCAAAGAAAGTTTTGTTCCATATATTTCTATATTTCATTTTTGTGCAACTTATTAAAACTTTGTGGGGTTTTTTCTGGGTATCTAAACTGATACATGCTAACAGGATTTCTCCTTACTCAACTGACACAATAATTGTAAGTCCTGGTGTAAAATATAGAACAAACCACCTTCCTTGACCATTGTTGGAAAAAAAAAAAGATAAATTGGTTTGTTATTTTGTAAACACCAGGCTTAAAATTAGTCAAAAATATGCAAAGTCATACATCACATTAAAATATTTATTGTTGTCTGCTAATTAATGTTTTACTCAGTTTCTCTACAAGAGAAAGCTTATAACTTATTTGCAAGATTGGTTGAAAACAATTATATTCAATAAAGATATTTGAATATGTGAATGCTTTATTGCTTAAAGTTTATATACATGAGAATTCAACTTGTTAAAATAAAGCTTAGTGTAAATTCTTCCATACTGAATGAAAAAAAAAATCAACAACATGAAGAAAAGTTGATAATTTTAATACATAGAACAAATTTGGTCTCATAGTTTTTTAAATCAAGTATCTAAAAATGAATTCTTTGATTGTGAAACATGGTTCTAATTTTACATTATGGACTTACTTTTTCTATTATAAATCAATATTATGTCTGTTTCCTGACTCTCACTGCCAGCAAGTTGGTTCCGACTCATAGCGACCCCTCCTTGGGTTTTTGAGGTGGTGTATCTCTATGGAAATAGATTACCCAGCCTTCCTTGCAAGGAGTGGCTGGTGAGTTTAGACCCCCAGCCTTCTGGTTAGCAGTCAAATGCCATAGGCACTGTGCCACTATAGCTCCTATATATTATGTTTTATGTTCAGAATTTTTTAGATTAAATATGAGTAAACCTTCTGAAATACAGAAGCCTACTTATTTTTTCTGTATTAGGGACAGAGAGATAAAATAATGGTTTTCTCAGTTATTTAAATTAAGACTTATCCACAGATTATTGTAATTTTATTATTTATGAACTACCAGTTATCTGTCAGTTTGTCATATTGTGGTAGCTTGCATTTTGCTATGATTTTGGCAGCTGTGCTGCCAGTATTTCAAATACCAGTAATGTTACCCATGATGGACATATCAGCAGAACTTCCAGACTAACACAGACTGAGAATAATGATCTGGCAATCTACTTCTGAAAAAATTGGCCAGTGAAAAGCTCATAGATAGCAGTAGAACATTGTCTGGTATATTGCTAGAAGATGAGCACCTCTAATTAGAAGGCACTCAAAATATGACTTAGGAAGAGTTGCTTACTCAAAGTAGAGTCAAACTTAATGACATAAATGGAAAAAGCTTTCAAGATTTTCATTTGCTCATATGAATTAAAATGAGAAGAGACAGTTGGAGACATAGTATTATTAATCAGAACATGTGATATATGAAGCAAAAATCCAGGAAAATTGGAAGTAGTAAAAAATGAAATGGAACACATAAATATCTATATCCTAGGCATTAGTGAGCTGAAATGGATTGGTCATTTTGAACTTGATAATCTTATGATGTACTGTGCCAGTAATGACAAATTATGAGGAATGGTGCTACCTTCATTGTGAAAAAAAAAATCTTTTTAAGATCTGTCCTGAAGTACAGTGTTGTCATTGATAGGATAATATCCATACAAGGAAGGATAATATCTACAAGGAAGACCAGTTAATACTACTCTTATTCAAATTTACACATTATCCACTAATGCCAAAGATGAAGAAATTGAAAATTTTTACCAAATCCTGTAGTCTGAAATTGACCAGACGTGCAGTCAAGATGTATTGATTTTTTCTGGTGACTGGAATGCAAAAGTTGGAAACAAAGAAGAATCATCAATAATTGGAATATATGGCCTTGGTGATAGAAATGATGCCTGAAATTGCATGATAGAATTTTGGAAGACTAAACATGTGGACCTTGCCAGATGGAATATACAGGAATTAGATCAACTATATCTGTGGAAAGAGGCAATGGAGAAGTACAGTATCATTCGTCAAAACAATGCCAGAGGCCCACTGTGGAATAGACCATCAGTTTCTCAAAAGCAAGTTCAAACTGAAGCTAATAAAAATTTAAACAAATCCATGAGAACCAGAATATGACCTTCAGTATATCCCACCAGAATTTGAAGACCATCTCAAGAATAGATTTGACAAATAGAAACTTAGTAACTGAAGCCAGAGAAGCTGTGAGATGTCATCAGGGACATCACATATGAGATGTCATCAAGTACCTAACACATGAAGAAAGCAAAAGGTCATTTAAAAGACAGGAAAAGAATTTAAGACTTAAATGTATGTCAAAAGGACTCTAAACCTTCCTTGTGAATATAGAGTAGCTAAAGTGAGTGGATGAAATGATGAAGTAAAAGAGATGAACAGAAAATTTCAAAGGGCACCCAGAGATGACAAAGTTAATTATTAAAGTGGGATATGCAAAGACCTGGAGTTAGAAAACCAAAATGGAAGAACACACTTGGCATTTCTTGGCCTGAAAGAACTGAAGAAGAAATTCAAGGTCTCTAATTACAATACTGAAGAGTTCTGTGGGCAAAATATTCAACAATACAGGAGCCATCTAAAGAAGATGGAAGGAATGCACTGGATCAACAAAAGAATTGGTTGACTTTCAACCATTTCAGGAGGTAGCAAATGATCAAGAACTGCTGGCATTGAAGGAAGAAGTTTGAGCTTCACTGAAAGTGTTGGAAAAAAAATGTGTCCAGGAATTATGTATAATATCAAATGAGATGTTTCAATTAAGGAATGCAACACTGAAAGTGCTTACTTGTCTATGCCAAGGAATTTAGAAGACGGTTACCTGGCCAACTATTGAAAGAAACCCACATTTGTTCCCATACAGAAAAAGGGTAATCCAATAGAATGTGAAAATTATCCAACAGTATCATTAATATCACATGTAAATAAAATTATATTAAATACAATTTTAAAATGGTTGCAGCGGTACATTGACAGGGAACTGCCAGAAATTCAAGCTGGATTTAGAAGAGTATGTGCAATGATGGATATCTTTGCTGATGTCAGATGGATCTTTACTGAAAGCACAAAATACCAGAAGGATGTTTACCTGTGTTTTACTGACTATGTGAAGGCATTTGACTGTATGGGTCATAACGAATTATTGATAGCATTGTGAACAGTGGGAATTCCAGAACATTTAATTGTGCTCATGTGGAACCTGTGCATGGTCCAGGAGGCCATCATTTGAATAGAACAAGGGGACACTGCATGGTTTAAAATCAGGAAAGTGTGCGTCAGGATTTTATCCTTTTACCATACTTAACTCAATCTGTATGCTCAGCAAATAATCAGAGAAATTGGACTATATGGAGAAGAATGCAGCATCAGGATATAAAGAAGACTCATTAATTAATAACCAGTGGTACGCAGATGACACAACCTTGCTTACTGAAAGTGAAGAAGACTTGAAGCACTTACTGATGAAGGTCAAAGACTGCAGCTTTCAATATGGACTACACCTCAACATAATGAAAACAAAAATCATCACATCTGGACCAGTAAGCAAAATCATGATAAACACAGAAAAGTTTGACGTTGTCAAAGGTTCCATTTTTCTTGTTTCACAGTCAATACCCATGGAAGGAGCAGTCAAGAAAATCTGCATATCTGCTGCAAAAGACCTCTTTAAAGTGTTTAAAAGGAAAGATGTCACTTTGAGGACTAAAGTCTATCTGACCCAAGCCATGATATTTTCAGTCTCCTTTGTGCATTTGAAAGCTGGACAATGAATATAGGAGACAGAGGAAATATTGATGCTTTTGAATTATGGTGTTGGTGAAGAATATTGGGTATACCATAGACTGCCAGAAGAACAAATGTATCTGTGTTGGAAGAAGCATAGCCAGAATGTTTCCTGGAAATAAGACTAGACTGTTTCATGTACTTTGGATATGTTATCAAGAGGGACCAATCTCCAGAGAAGGATATCATGCTTGGTAAAGTAGGGGGTCAATGAAAAAGAGGAAGACCTTCAAGGAGGTAAATTTAAATTGTTGCTGCCAAGATGGTCTCAAACATAGCAATGAGTGTAAGGATGACACAGATCAAGCAGTGTTTTGTTCCCTTGTACATAGCATCGCTATGAGTTGAAAATGACTTGACAGCACCTAACAGTAACAATTATTAATGACAAGGGGCTGAGAGTTTAAGTTGTTAGGCTAGTTTTATGCCCAATTTCTATCCAAAATACTTAAATGTGTGTATGGAGATTCTGTCTCTTAAAGTACTGTCCACTATTGAAAGACCTATATTTTTCTTTTATGGTTTCGGTCAAGTAGATGATATTCAAAATCCTTTACATTAAAATTTGCAAAAATTGTTCAATGGGAAATTAATTTGTTCTGTAAACTTTGGCTGAAATCACAGTTTAAAAAGCAAAGCAAAGTGCTTTATCTGACATATCATACATAGTAAATTTGCAAAAGGCAGAACTTCTGTAAGGTGGGAACCTGTCAGAGAAGGAAAACTCAAAATATTATCCACTACTTGAGAGAAGTAGAAAAGTGTCAAAGGTGGAAAACTTGCAAGACCCAGAATAACAAGATAATTCTGTCGAATTGCAGCCGTCACAGGTTTCACTATATATTACATATATGTTATAAAAATATCTACATGTGTATTTACTTCTAAGGAGTCTGACATATTTGGAATTTCCATTTGAGGGCTACAAAAGTCTTTTATAGCTGCTGCAATTTAAGCATTCATAATACATAAAAGATTTAGATGTAAGTATTTGTGAGGTTTTTGTTTTTATCCAGTTACATATTGTTTTCGTCTGTATGTTTCTTAATGTAGGTTTAAGTAGTCCTAGTATTTTATACTTAATTTATCTTGTTTATTTTCTGGTTGTTAGAGAAGTCTTAGACTTTTGGTTCTTTCATTTTATTTCAGTTTCGAACAGCTCAAAATGGCAGTCAATAATCTGAAGAAACAGGCTAACAAGAAGAATGAAGGCAGTCTGGCATATGTGAAAGGAGGTCTTAGTACTTTCTTTGAAGCACAGGATGCCCTCTCAGGTAAAGTGATACCCCAAGTCATCTGCTGGGATCTTCCATAATGGAAATGTGACACTGTGTTTGCAGAGTATTTATAGGGTGTGATAGTAGTTCTGTATTTATAAAAGTAGAGTTCTAAAATGCACCATAAATATTTGTTGCAGACTAGGCTGGGGTTCCTTTGAAGGCTTGGTACTTTAGATATTTGTCTGTGAGACTTTTGTTGACCCATATTGCATGTGTGAAATGGGAGACTACTTTGCCTTTCCATAATACCTAATCTCTAGGATAGATAAGAAATTAAATCCCATTGAGTAAAACTCTAGAATTAAAAAAAAAAAAAATTTCTTTTATAGCCGTCATTACCATATACATATAACTAAGGCTATAAATGTGACCCAATGTGTATTCAGTTTTGAAAGAACTGTTGATGATATCCCCAGTCCCCAACATGCATATGCAAAGTTAACTGTCATTGTCTGTACCATTACCTTTATGTGCAAGGGAAATTCTTTAAAGAGAAATATCATATTTATAGATATTTCAGTGAAAGATATTAATTAGCTTCTTTTAAAATTACCTTTAATAAAAATTAAATTATCTGTCATGTAAAAAGTAAAATAGATTAACAAAAGTTAATCCAATTCTTTTTAAAGCTAAGATATGTAAAATATATACTTTCAACACTAACTGCCATACCTTCTCTAAAAAAGGAAAGCCTTATTTATTTTTTTAAAATTAATTTGTATTCTTTAAGTACAAATGTCTTTTCATTGCATTTAACAATCCCTCCTCTCGTGTGTCAACACACATAATTGACTTCTGACAAGCTGTTGTGCTTTTTTTTCTTTTAGGTTTTATTGTGATTTGGGTGAAAGTTTACAGAGCAAATCAGTTTTTCATTCAATAATTCACACACATTTTGCTTCATCTCAGTGTAGCATTGTTGTTGTTGTTATGTGCTGTCGAGTTGGCCCTGACATAGCGACCCCTCCTTGGGTTGCCGAGGCAGTAGTACTAGGAAAGTAGATTGCCCAACCTTTCTTCTGAGGAGTGGCTGGTGGGTTTGAACCTTCTGCCTCCTGGTTAGCAGTCAAGTGCCTTAGGCACTATGCTACCAGAGCTCCCTCAATGTAGCATTACCCATCTCATATCATACCTGTTTGTTATTTCCATTTTTCCTTGTCTGCTAACCTTTCATAACTTTTGAAATTTGTCCTTAGGAAAACGCTACCCATTTGATCTCGAATGGTTGGTTGTTCCAAGGAGTGTGTACTTTCCTAGAGTTATTGTTCACCTTATAGACCTAACTATTATTTGAATATTGAGCTGAATATTGAGCTGAATGAGTTCAGTTCCAGGTCTGAAGGGTAACCAAAGGTCATAGTCTCAAGGGTTCCACCAGTCTGTGAGACAAGTAAGCCTGGCCTTTTTTATGATTCTGAGTTTTGTTCCACATTTTTCTCCCATTCTATGCAAGACTCTCTAATGTGATCCCTTTCAGAGCAGTTGGTAGTGGTAGCCATACCACCGCCTATTTCATTTGGTCTCAGGGTCATGGAGGTTGAGGTTTGTGAAGGCCATTAGTCCTTTGGACTAATGGTTTCCGTGTAGCTTTTATTTTCTTCATTCTTCTTTTCTCCAGATGATGAGAAACACATAGTTGCACCTTAGATGGCTACTTGCAAGCAAGTTTTTAAGACCCCAGTTGCTACTTACCAAAGTAGGATGTAGAACATTGTCTTTGTGGACTATATTATGCCAGTTGACCTTGATGTCCCCTGAGACTATTGCCCTGAATACCTGGGCCCAGTGACTCCCTCCCTTAGGGTTTTTGATTATGACTAGGAAGTTTTCATAACTTTGCCCCCTGTATGTTCTACTATATTCATAGATATATTTGTTTCATATGTAAATACATACATAGAATTATCCTCTGTCAGACCTATACATATGGTGGATATAATCCCATTCTCCTTGTCACATCTGTTTTACCTGCATCTCTGTCTTTGTATCCACTCTTAGATTGTTGATTATTGTTATTACTGTTATTGCAGGACTGTGTATGAATTAGTGTTAACCTCTGTTGCCTTTAATTCTTATACTTCTCCCCCAGTTTTTCTTCCTTTTAATCATTTTGACCGCTTCCTTATTGCCTCATTTTGTTCTCTCCTAACCCAAGTTAAGGAACTCTGGTGACAGAGTGGTTAAACCATTAGGCTGGTAACCAAAAGATTGGTGATTTGAACCCACCAGCTGCTGAACAGGAGAAAGATGAGGCAGTCTGTTTCCTTAAAGAATTATGGCTTTGTAAACCCTGTGGGGGCAATTCTGCTCTGTCAAAATGGATTGTTATGAGTTGGAATTGACCTGGTGGCAGTGGGTTGGGTTTGGTTTGGGTTCACCCAAAGCAGTAAGTGTCTGCACTCTGGTTAGTGGTTTTCCTTTCAAGTTATCAAGAGTTAATCTTGTTGTTGTGTTGTTAGGTGCCATTGAGGCATCTTCAACTCATAGCGACTCTATGTACAACAGAATGAGATATTGCCAGTCCTGTGCCACCCTCACAATCCTTGCTATACCCGAGCCAATTGTTGTAGCCGCTGTGTCAATCCATCTTGTTGAGGGCCTTCCCCTTTTTTTGTACTTTACCAAGTACTATATCTTTCTCCAGGGAATGGTTCCTTCTGACAACATGACCAAAGTAGGTGAGACGAAGTCTGGCCATTATTGCTTCTAAGGAGCATTCCAGCTGCACTTCTCCCAGGACAGATTTGTTCGTTGTTTTGGCAGTTGGTGGTATTTTCAGTATTCTTCATCAACATTACAACTCAAAAGCATCAACTCTTCGTCGGTCTTCCATATTTATTGTTTAGCTCTCACAAGCATATGAAGTGATTGAAAATACCGTGGCTTGGGTTAGGGTCACTTTAGTCTTCAAAGACACATCTTTGCTCTTTAGCACTTGAAAGAGGTCTTTTACAGCAGATTTGCCCAATGCAATATGTTGTCTGATGTCTTGACTGCTCCTTCCATTGGTGTTGATTGTAGAACCAAGTAATATGAAGTCTTTGACAACTTCAGTTTTTCTCCGTTTATCGTGATGCTGCTTATTCGTACATTTGTGAGGATTTTTGTTTCTTTATATTGAGATGTGTACTACAGACTATAGTCTTCAGTCTTCATCAGTAAGTGCTTCAAGTCATCCTCACTTTCAGCAAGCAAAGAAAGTTGTGTCATCTGCCTGTCACAGGTTGTTAATGAGCCTTCTTCCAATCCTGATGCCACATTCTTCTTCATATAGTCCAGCTTCTCGGATAATTTGCTCAGCATACAGATTGAATAAGTATGGGGAAAGGATACAACCCTGACTCACTCCTTCCTGATTTTAAACCATGTAGTATCCCCTTGTTTTATTTGAACAACAGCCTCCTGGTCTATGTACAGGTTCCTCATGAGCACAATTAAGTGTTCTGGAATTCCCATTCTTTTCAGTATATCCATAATTTGTTATTATCCGTACAATCTAATTCGTTATGATTCACACAATTGAATGCTTTTGGATAGTAAGTAAAACACAAGTAAACATCTTCTGGTATTTGCTCTCAGCCAAGATCCATCTGACATCAGCGATGATATCTTCATTCCACGTCTTCTTCTGAATCCACCTTGTATTTCTGGAAGTTCTCTGTCAGTATAATGCTGCAACCATTTTTGAATTATTTTCAGTAAGCTTTTATATGCGTTGTGATGTTAATGATATTGTTTGATAATTTCCACATTCTGTGGGATCACCTTTCTTTGGAATGGGTACAAATATAGATCTTTTCCAGTCAGTTGGCCAGGTAGCTGTCTTCAAAATCTGTTGGCATAGCTGAGTGAGTGCCCCCAGCGTGGCATCTGTTTGTTGAAACATCTCATTGGGTGTTCGGTCAATTTCTGGAGCCTTGTTTTTCACCAGTTCCTTCAGTGCAGCTTTGACTTCTTCCTTCAGTACCATTAGTTCTTGATCATTTACCACCTCTTGAAATAGATGAACATTGACCAGTTCTTTTTGGTAGTGCCTCTCTGTATTCGTTTCATCTTCTTTTTTATTTTAATTACTATTTTTATTTTAAGAGCTTGTTTTACATTCAATGTCACGCATACATTTAGTTTCATTCCACTTTCGCCATGTCCATCCTTAACCCAGTCTCCTCCCCTCCCTAACCTGCAACCCTCCTCGAGTGCCCCTCATAATTATGCACGCATGTTTGTCCTGCATCTCCTCAGTTTGAATGTTGGTCCTCTGGAGTCCCATCGTCTGTTGCTATAAGGGATGTATTACTATTGAGTGTGTGGGTGCAGCATCCTGGCTTGAGTGGTCTGCATGTACATCTTGTTAACTGTTGGGCTGAGAACTCACCCCTGGGGGTGCATTTTATTCCAGGCGCCGAATGTATTTCAGGGCCATAGTATTGGGAGTCTCACCAGGTTTCATCTGACCAGTAATTTTGGTCATTATTGAGTTTTTGGATTTTTTTCCACATTTTCCCTCCCACTCTATTCAAGATCTCCAGATTTGATCCTTTCCTGAGTGGTTGGCATTGGTAGCCGGGCACCATCTAGTTCTTTTGGTCTCATAGTAGTATAAGCTGCAGATCGGATGGTGTACCATTTGCTAGGACTAATTGTTTCCAGGAATTTTTGGTTTTCTTCATTCTTCTTTGCTCTGGATGAGGAAAGAACCATCGTTGCATCTAGAGGGCAGTTTGTGAGCTTTTAAGATCCCAGTTGTTACTTGCCATAGTAGGAGGTGGAACAATGTTTTGTGTAGTATGTTATGCCAGTTGAGCTTGATATCCTCTGCGACTATGGTCCCGAGCCCACAGGTTCAACTACTTGGCCCCTCTGGGTAGCTGGCTGTGAGCAAGCAGTGAGTACAGTCTTGCCCCTTCTGCTCCACTGTGTACCTGGGAATTCTGATCATACACATAAAGTTATAGGACCATTGTCTGCCAACCCTATACATATTTTTGGGTACA